TGCATTAAAGTCAACACACATTTATTTTTTATTATATGCATTAAATGCTTGCATTAAATTTTTTTGACCTTTATTTAATTATATAAAACTAATATTTTTTAAAAAAAATAAATATTATTTATCATTTAAAAGATAATGATCTCATCATTAAATGATTTTATTGATGGGTAGATAATAAAATTATATTAGTTATTCTTTAAAATTTGGACATGTTATTTATTTGTATATTATTGTCAACTATGATAGTGTTTTTATCACTTTTTTTTGTTATGTTTCAAAAATGAACTTATTGTAAAATATTTTTCTATTGCATAGTATGTTAAATAAACTATAAAGCCTTATGATGAAAATTAGAAAAAATCTCTTGATTATGTAAGAGATTTATTTTTTGGCAATTGCTAAATCATTTTTTTTTTTTTTTAAAAAAGGAATTATTATGAGAAAATTGAATTCTAGAAAACATGTGTGTATTTTGTGAACATTTATACTCAAAATTTTATTTTAGATTTCATTACATAAAGAAGACTACTTCTATAACTTTTATAAATAATAATAATGACATTATATGACTATAAATTTTATAATAAAATAATAATTGAGTATTATATGGTGAACGAGAATAAATAAATTTTTTATTTTTTCTTATATCAGTGAATAAATATTTATTAAAAAATCAAATAAATATTAGTATGACGTGTTAGCAGAATTATATATTAATTAACATGTTAATTTTTTGGCTTAAATAAACGCCACTTATTAAAAGATGTGAAATATGGATGATCCAAGCCTATTGATTTTTTGTCTAGACGTACAAATCCTGTAGAAATAATTGATTTATTATATGTATCACGTGCATCGCACGGGGTATGCACTAGTTACAATAAAACAAAAATAAAATATTTAATCTTGATTTCTAAAGCCTTCTAGGCACTAAACACTTGTCAAGCGTCAAGCGAGCCCCTATCGACTTCTACAACATTGGTTAAATATCAAGGATTGCGTTTTCAAACCCATCCAAAACCTCTTGTAAAAAGATGCCTCAAGAATGGTCAAGTCAACAATCAAAGTCCGACCCAAAATTACAACCTGTGGTCTTCCGAACTTTTAATTCCCACATATGTTAAAACACATGCCAATGCCACTTTCACATTAGATCCCACCGTTTTATGGGGGAAAGAAATCAGTAGTTTATGATAGAGTTGCCACTCTCTGAAGATCACTCACTCTTAACAGTATGGTATATGCGACGAACGAATAGAAACGAAGCCTGAAAGCTTACAGCTCCAAGCATCAAGAAGAAAGCATAGCACAGGCAAAAGCTGTAGCCGAAAAAGAAGGACGTCTGCAGGATGCCACTCATGTTCGACTTGGCATAAAAGTAAATGCAGTGGCAAAACATAAATATTGCTGTCGAGCCTCCACGTAACATGGACCTGAATGTAGTTACATCTAATTAGGATCAGAAACTGTAATTCCATGGTGTTAAAAAAGCAGGGGGAAATTGTGACATTCATGTAAGGTGGGAAGGAGAAAGGCGAATGGCAAGTGCCTTGACCATTACAGACTTATCACAGATACTTTGGAAAAAGTACTACCTCAATAACTATGACCAAAAAGAAAAAGAAAAAAAAATTCACATTCAAAATTACAATTACCTCCATTTTTTTTATTTTTTTTTTTTTAAACAGGGAATAGCAAAATGAAAAATCTTAGTTCATCTTGAATGAATGCATCTCGAATGCTTTCCACAACCAATGGCTAATATTAGAGATGACATTATAAAATGTTGTTAAACCCACAATTTTTAATTTTTGAATAAGTAGAAACGAAAGCTGTATCAAATATACAAAGCTACAACTAAGAAAGAGAACATATACCTCCACCACCACTCGTGATCCTCCACAGTCAGTTGAAAGTACGTCAAGCCAACGCTAAACAGGGCAGTGAGAACAACAAGCATAACGAACGTAATAAACAATATTCCAGGGGAAGTGTAGATTTTATAGCCCCACAAGGTAGCACACAGATTATGGAACTCCAGGACAATGACACTGAAAGGCAAAAGACCGGCGATAAACATTTGAGCTGGAGTTTTCCTATACCAAGCCAAAACTGGAATCTCCCTCGGACATTTTCTCGTAACAGGAGACGACAGGGGATCAGATTTGTAACGATGTCCAAGAAATCCACCAAGGATGAGCAATGGAATTGAAACAAGTACAAATATAAGAAAAATAAAGAATATTGTTCCCAGAGGAAGTGTGGCAGTCACCCCATGATATGTAGAAAGTATGTTTAGGATGAATACGGTGAAGAGATAAGGACCTAGAAAAAGTGTCCCGGCTAGAAGAACACTCTTTTCCTGCAAAAGTGACAGATCAGCTAAATAGATATTCATGGGTTAACAACAAACATACAACGGGCGTTCATTCTTATAATGGAAGAAAAAACTGCTATCTTAAAAATATAAAACCTTCACGCCCAGGATTACGACAAGGATAATTAGATAGGAATCCAAAGATAAAGAGAGAAACAAAAAATATCACAAACAACACCTAACATGGTTGGGGGAGGGTGTATTTGTTAAATACTTATTTTTTACAAAACAAGAATTTATTTTTTTATTCTTTAAGTAGTTTTGCTAAAATCTATGGGGTAGCTTTCTGTAAATCAGCTGAACATGTAATGGCGAAGGATGCATGATTAATAGTGTTAGAAGAGAATTAAGCAATTATACCCATCCAGTTTCAAAATGCTGACTGCAAACTGATGCCGAGCTATAGCCTGCAACAGCTGACGTAATAATGTAGGATATGAATATAGAAATTGAGAGAGCACCACTGCTGTAGGGGTAGAAGACTCCAAGAAATGCCAAAGCAAATAAGAAAGAAACCCTGTCGAACTAGCCAAAAATTGGTTAACATGGTACAAATAGATGTAAAACCTACACTAATAAAAGGAAAGTAATAATAACTAATTGCAAGAATCTTAATACAGAGGACACAGACTCTACACCTCAAAAATATACGCACGTAGGAGTAACACAGGCAAGAACCGCCTTGAGATGTACGGCTGTACCTCTTAATTTAGTGAAAAGGGTACATTTGACTAAAATTTGTTTGAGCCCAACCAATGAAGAAAAATATAATTAATTCAGAGAAAAATTGTGATCCTGTTGAGGTTGAGCTCAGGCTTTAGCATTTCAAATAAAAGTAAATGGGCTCAAATTTATGAAGGTTGGAAATAATATATTTAGCTGATATGAGTTTCTTTAGCATTTCGAATAAAATAAAATGGGCTCAAATTTATGAAGGTCAAGAATATTTTGCTAAAATGAGAATCTTTTCCTTTATTTTTATTATTTATTTATTTATTTATTTTCTTTTTTGCCCAAAGAACTGAAAGAAACAACGAGCTCCCTTTCTGGGTTTATTGCTAAGAAGCAAGTAAAAGAATAGGAAGCTATTTAAAATAAATCTCGTATATCACCAGCTAACAAGGAGAAAGCTTAAGTTCATTCTAGAATCTATAATGATATCAAATAATAGCTTACATGGTCATAACCTGAGTACCACAGCCAAAAAGTGCAGAAAAATATGGCAAGTTTGTCGGGCATCGGAACACATCCCCGTGAATATATTTCCAACCAACTTCTTTCTCCTCATCATCATCACCAATTGACCATCTGAAAAAAGAAGAAATAAAATTAGAACTAAAACTCAAAAACCGCAAGTGGCCCTTACGTTATGGTGGAAACTCGTCTGAGTAGGGCCATGACTAAAACGAACATTGGGAGCAAGCACTTAGTTTGCTGAAAATAACAAACATTATTGGGGCAGATCTTAAAACTTAGTAACTGTTATCCATTTCTTTCTAAACAATATGAAGTTCAACCACGATGCCAGAAAGTGCGAGCAACAAGGATATCAGTATTAAAGAACGGAAAATTACTTTCTCAAATCATTTTTGAGGTGCCGCATGAAAATCACGGCCAGCAGTCCGAGAAGCAGGATAAGCATAATGAAGAAATTTACAAAAGAGAACAAATGCGTTTGGCGGATTACGGGAAGTAAAGACGCCCCCCAGTATCTATCCATTCTGTCCTTGTATGGTGCAGAGGTTCCTTTCCAAGATACAGAATAAGTAAACTTGATTTCGAGATCAACATCTGCAGTTACATCCACCGCATGGCTCGGGTGGCCGAGGGCATGGACTTCTATGACTTGGTTACCATTATAAAGAGCATCAAATTGAACATGTGTAAAGAGGAAATATTTTGGCCCATGACCATCAATGGCCAAGCTTCCGTGTTCAACTTTGCCGATATATGCCCACAGCGGAAGATCATCAAAGTACATCTGGTAGTAAAAACCATTCTTTATGGATTCTCTGAATCTTGAAACATTGCCCTTGTTAAGCGTCCGTTGGCAAAGAACGGCTTGTGTTTTGTTAACTGCAAATTCCAAATTATGCAAAGCATTTGCCAGGCGGTCGCCATTTAAAATTTCCCCAAGGCTTTCCTTCTTTTCCAGCACCGGATCTGCCAATGAGACAAATGTTTGAATGTGGCAGTGCTTATAAAGGATACTTGATAGTTTATAATAACAAAATATTTTGAAGTTATGCAAAATCATGTGTTTCGCGAAGGTCTACAATTGGAAATATATGAATTTTTAAGGAAACATGGTAATATATATTATTCAATTACGAGATCACTAATTATAAAGATCATGCGGAGCAAAAGAGGGATTGTTCTTATCGATAAAAACACTATCGTGGCTGGTATAACCTGATATGCTTTATGCATTAGCAAACAATGAAATCTGGATGACATTTCTGGAAAGCCCCTTCAGAGAATATACAAAAGGAAGGGTTGATTTGCTGTTCTAAACAATGGCAGTGGGAACTAATATATTCTAAGTGAGGAGCAACAAAAAAAGAAAGAAAGAAAAAAAAAAACACTGCTCGCCATTGTAATCCTCTCAATTAAATCCAACAATGTTTCAATTATATGGAAATATTATGGTTTCTTTGAGGCCAATTTGTCACATACCGGTGCCAGGTAATAACAGCAAAAAATTCCTGACAGTCAAACACTACTGAATAGTAAAGGAAACGAAGACGGGGAACATGAACAAACAAATAAAAAACACAAAAACATAAGAAGTTCTTTAACAATGTCTGCAGGAAGCGCAAAGGTCGATGCAAGTGCCAAAGTCAACCTGGACGACAGAAGTCC